CCATGCGTCAGACATTTGACGAGTAGGGAGTGAGACTGTGTTGAATCATCATTATCACAGGTATCACACATTACCTCTCTCTCTCTCTCTCACACACACACACACACACAATTTAAAAATGTTATAAATTTTTATGGTTTACAGTTTAAATTTTGCTCAATAACATGACAACAATGAGTGATAAGACACATTTATGGACACAAATTATGCAAATGAAGCTTCCATGGTTATGAAAAATCTACAGATTTCTTTTATTTCAGTGGTCACCGTCAGATAAGGACAATGACAGGTATGTTAAAGTGTCACCTATATATTGAGTCTGCTGCTATTAATTATTATTAATAGCCACCGTAAACACTCAGGATGAATGGGGAACATTAGCAATTTTGTCAACATAAATGAGTAATGATTGAAGACACCACATATACACATTTACAATATCATAGAGGGAAAAAAACATTTTGTTTTAAAGATGACTTTATGAAGGCTAATAACATGCATCTTCTTTTAACAGCCAAACCATCTCATGACATTATAGGAGCGATGGCAGGCATGGCGATCGGTGCTAGTCTGGCCTTTACAGTTCTGTTGGTTTCAATTCTGATTTTTATTTGTGAATCCAAATCACAAACTTTGAACAACTATATTTTTGTGGGAACACTTGTTACAGGAGCAGCAGCATTAGCTGCTGGGCCAGTATTCCTAGTTTGGTAACACTTTATTTCGATAGTCCACTTTAGACATTATATTAACAGTAAGTAACTTTGCAACTACATGTCAACTAGCAGTTAGTAGAGTATTAGTAGACTGTCTGCTTAATATCTTCTAACTCTTTCTTTGTCAACTTATTCTACTAACCCTAAACCTACCCTAACAGTCTACTCTGAGAGTTAGTAGACATGTAGTTGCAAATTAATGAGAATTAGTTGACATGTAGTTGACATGTAGTTACAAAGTTACTTATAGTTAGTAGAATGTCTAAAGTGGACTATCGAAATAAAGTGTAACCCCTAGTTTTCTTTGTTCTAGCATTTCCATTTGTAGGAGCAGCTGTAGGGGTTGTCATTGGATTGGACGCCGCACAAGAAGCTCATTCTGTGTATGATGCCTTGATTAGGGCAATCGTTTGCAACTTTGAGATGGCTAAACGTGTGATTGAAAATGTTCACCAATTTAAAGTAAAAGCAGATAAATATGTAAAATTATTAGACCAAATGTATCAAGAATATTTGTAAGACCAAAAGTATCAAAAGTCATTGAGGTGTAGTCAAGTCAAGTCACTTTTATTTTTATAGTGCTTCATACATTACAGGTTGTTTCAAAGCAGCCTTACAGCGATCAACAGGAAACTATGATTCAATGATGCAAATAGAGTTCATTTTGGCTGTAAAGCAGCTCTAACAAGAAAATAGTGTCTTTGTTGATTCAAGTTAAGTTATTAAGTTAAGTTAAGTTTAGCTCAGTTAAGTTAGGTGAAGTGAAGTGAAGTGAAGTTAAGAGTTAAGTAGCTCAGTTAAGTTAGGTGAAGTGAAGTGAAGTTAAGTTAAGTTAAGTTTAGCTCAGTTAAGTTAGGTGAAGTGAAGTGAAGTTAAGTTAAGTTAAGTTTAGCTCAGTTAAGTTAGGTGAAGTGAAGTGAAGTTAAGTTAAGTTAAGTTAAGTTTAGCTCAGTTAAGTTAGGTGAAGTGAAGTGAAGTTAAGTTAAGTTAAGTTAAGTTTAGCTCAGTTAAGTTAGGTGAAGTGAAGTGAAGTTAAGTTAAGTTAAGTTAAGTT